TAACGTTCGCAAAAGCAAAAAAAATCAAATACGTCAATCAACTAAAAAATAATCACATATATATATATATATATATATATATATATATATATATATATATATATATATATATATACATACACATACACTTTTAATATATATATGTTAAAGTGTATGTGTGTATATATATATATATATATATATATATATATATATATATATATATATATATATATATATATATATATATAGAGAGAGAGAGAGAGAGAGAGAGAGAGATATGAGGGTGTGTGTTTTGCGTGTGTGGGTGCGTGTGTGTTTGCGTGTGTGCACGTACGTGCGTGTGTGTTTGCGTGTGCACGTACATGCGTGTGTGTATTTTTACAAAAAATATTTTTGATTATTTGCTCATTAGATACTAATTTACTTATTTTCTTAATGCCTACCTGTAAACACACGAATAAGTAAGTGAGAAAATTTGTACAAACGGGAAAGCTTGGTACGCCTAGCCCAAGGTGTATAAGTAGGTACGTGCCGAATAATTGTATAATAACTCACTATACTTTCTTAGATATATATATATATATATATATATATATGGGGGGGACGGTGTATGTGTGTGTTTGTGTGTGTGTGTCTGTGTATGTAAAAATTATATAACTTTATTTATTTATTATTCAAACGTTTTTATATTTGATGCTTTGCAGTATTAAAAATATTGTTTTAAAACTAAATCCATTAACTTGGCAATATTTACATTGTTGTCTTCATCTTTGTTGTTGTATTGACGACAGTTCGTACGCTCTGGCCTTTTTCAGGTGATTGGTATTTCGAACTGAACTTCTCTTTTTTTTCGTCCACCTGGGTAGATTGTCCTAGATGTCTCTTCTGAATGTCTCAACATCAGTTATTTGACTTTAACTTGACTTTCTTTGGTTTACCTCAGCTGTAGCCAGGTACTAAACTCACTACTATTTAGGTCAAATTATTGTATTCAACCAACGCTTTTATCTACTGGGCCATGTGTCTTTGGCACCAGTGTATAAATTTTTGATTCTCATAAAACTAATGTCTCAGTAAACATTTGTTTACCATAGCTCATATTGCAATTTTGTAGTTATTATTGCTTTTCTCTAGCACCCCGTATCATTGATTCCCAGATCGTATTCATTTGTACGCTTGGTCTGTTTAGGAGATTTTTGTGGCTTAGCATATGCGCTGATTCCATAAGTTTTCGTATTTGCAGGCTATTATTTCAACCACATCTCACAGGGAGCAGTTATCTCCCTGTTCCCTTAATATTTGGTCCGCTACGCCTGATTATTCTATTTCCCCTCGTGTTACCCAAACAGCACTACACTATCCACATATAAAACATCTAAAAGACAGAAATGTTACACCAAAAATAAGCTGAAAAATATTGAAAAACGCACCTGCCTACACCAACATTACAAAGAAATGCCTACTTTGTTTACACGAAAAGGTAGCAATAATTTCTCATACCCGACAAAAGAATTTACTAAACATAAGATCAGAAATCATTTCTAAATGCTGACATGAAAACAAATACCTATTATCAGAATTTATAACAAACGGATAAAAAATATTAACCAACACTACTACATAATCCACCATTGACACTATGGACATGATAAGAGAAAACATTGACACCATAACACTACCAATTGTTTTCTAGTTCAAACTACCACCATTATAATTATAATTATAATTATTGCTATTATCATTCCACAATTACTACGATCACTTCTACCACTTTACAATAACTATTTGCTGCTACAATTACCATTATCACCCGCCCCCACCATTACTACCACATCACAATTACCATTGACGCATTAGTCCATAATTACTACTGCACCACAATTACCATTAACGTATCAGTCCACAATTACACTTACTTCTCCCTCCTCCAGCAAAATTAATACCACACCATAAATACTAAAAAGTATTACAAATTGGAGTTTCTACCATCTACATATGCGCGATCACCAAAAACAGGCAAATTGTTTTCGATGTAATATCCTAAAATAAAGATTATTGTTCTAATTTGTATTGATCCCTCCTTTAAATTAAATGTGACGAAATGTACTCTAGTCGTTCACATATTACCTGGATATATATATATGATTCTATTATTTTCCCTATTCCTTTGTTATGTCTGTCTTTGATTATCTATATTTTACTATTAAATTTCAATTGTATATATCAGTGTATCTAGTACACATATCATATATATATATATATATATATATATATATATATATATATATATATATATATATATATATATATATATATATCAGTCTCTATATGTCTTCAGAACTCTGACTTATATGTTTGTTTCAATCAACCAGCTAGCTATTAGAAATTAGAGTTATTCAAGTCACCATGAAATTAATTCTTTCAGCCAATGTGAGAATACACAGCAATTTTCATTATTCTACAGTGCGCGCATTTGCTCTTTCATAGCATTAAATCACGTTTACATATAATTCAATCATCATCCTCGGGATATTCATGTTAATTCATGCATTATTTTATTCATCGGCGCGATAGATAAGGCAGTAAATCAAAGAGTCGCCCGGAAGAAAATAATTATGTTACTTATTGAACCAAATTGAAAGAAAATTAAAGAAACCGCATTAATATATTTAACAGAGAAGCTGAACTTTCGAATAATCTCATCAGTGAATGTCTGACGCAGGAGAAAATATTTTAGAAGCATAAGAACATTTCCATAGCTTGTAAACTTTCCTAAATGCATTATATATATTTCACCTGCCTCAGTAAATTCTTATATTTAATATATATATATATATATATATATATATATATATATATATATATATATATATATATATATTTTTCTCATATAGACAAAACAATTTACTCAGTACAAAGATGCAACATTGTTTCGGTTCATTTAGTTGCACTTCGACTGTATTTATTCAAAAATTATAACATAAACATGGCTATTTTTGTAGTGATGTTATAACATGTTTATGTTATCATTTTTGAATAAATACTATTTATTCTACTCTGTATTTAGCTCCCTTTTAAGAACAGTGTTTTTGGTTGTTGTAATTTCATTCCGTCTACTTATCTCTATCTATAAAAGGCAGGATGTGTTTGTGTGTGTGTAACGAATGTACGGCCGCAATTTTCGACGGATTTGGACCAAAATTGACATGCACATGCTCCAAGTTAGCAGGAAGGCCAAGACTGACGTTGCATTTCTTAACTCCCAACGATAGTGGAAATAATCGATTTTTGATGCTTCTACGGCAGTTTTTATGTAGTTTGCAGCGATTTTCTACTGGCCAGAGTGAGAGCAGAGCTGCTACGAATAGACAGGAAGATTCTATTGGCCATCGTGTGAGCCAACAGCTGACTAACACGAATTTTAACTAGCATGCTAGCATGCAAAAAAAAATCGATAGCTGCATTCGTCACAAGTGGGAATAATGTAAATCTGCATGACACTTTCATCCAATTGGCTCATTTCCTTGCTTAAACTCAACGTTGATTTTGATTCCGCAGAACTCGGTTTGGTGTGAAAAAGTATTTGATGTTAACATTCTTTTTTCATTCGGTTTTTCAAGGTACGAGTCCTTTTTTAAAGCTGATCGTTTTGTGTTTAGTTCTCTTTTCTTAACAGATTTGATGTTTAGTATACAGCTTAGAAAAAATTCGCAGTGTGAGATAGGCAAAAAGTAAGGCATGTAGCAACATCAGCATGGAAAAGGGCACTCCTTTAAAGGCAAGGAAGGGTGAAAATATTTTAAGTCAAGTGATAGCGATTGTGTATGAGTCGTACGATTTTGAATCAAGAACGAGCAACGCCGACCGATGCTTCTAGTAGATATATTCGCACACACACACACGAATGCACACACACACACACACACACATATATATATATATATATATATATATATATATATATAGAGAGAGAGAGAGAGAGGCACATACTAATACGCACTCTCACAATTACACACACAAACATATATATATATGTGTGTGTGTGTGTGTGTAGAATGCTTGTCTGAATTATTATGCAAATCATAAACTTTAATAACTTTGCATTGAAAGTATTTTGGCTCAGTTTTATTTACTTACCATTTAAGTCAAGAATATCGCTATATTTTCACAGAAAAAAAAGAATCGGTTGGGGGTTTGCTTTTTTATGGAAGAACAAATAAGAACGTGAATTGGAACATGTTCGTGTTTGGCCTCTAAAAGCCAAATGATTCGCCGTGTGTTTGACATACTATGAGGATAGTTGCATCGGACGGTTCGTTCACAGGTCGTTACTCAATCATTTTCTATTGGGTCACGTGGAGAAGTATGACGTTGTAAAACCCGAAAGCGCTAAAGATCATCAGCTAAAAACACCCCCCCCTGGTTTTTTCTGATAATCATTGAGATGTATTTAAAGAATTATCAAATTTTACACGATCAATATAGACGGAAAATAAAACTTAATTTTTTCAAGCAGTTTCAACATTTTATGGGAGAATTATTTGAATATTTCTAAAGTTATTCTGAAGATATTAGGCCAAACCAAAAATAGTGTCGCAAAAACATCTCCAACTGCTTAACATCTGTATTTATTGATTGATTTGTTTTTAAGTCTTATTAACAATTTGCAGGTTGTTTTAAGCCAGAAAACCTTTTACGATTTTTAAAACGATACCCGTCCTAATGACTAATGCATAGCTAGAGACAGATGATGTGGATTCTTATTTTCCCTAAAGGTTATGTGCGCATATGGGAATATAACGAACTCAACGGGATTTAGAACTCAGCTGTCTCGTTTTCAATTCTGAATCGTTATCCATTATACCTCCGGCACATTCAAAATTGTAGTACTTAATATTCCCAAGCGCTCACCCCTCTAGGTCGTGACCAAGCTCAACGTTGCTTAACTTCTGTGGTCTTTCGGGAACTGGAGTTTCAACATAATACGTCTGAAAGCCAAACTCCCAGCAGATCCAAACTTTCAGCACCTGCTATTCCCAAGAGGTCACCCATCTAGGCCGTGACCAAGCTCAACGTTGCTTAACTTCTGTGGTCGTTCGGGAACTGGAGTTTCAACATAATACGGCTGTAAGCCATACTCCCAGCACATCGAAGCTTTCACTACCTGCTATTCCCAAGCGGTCACCCATCTAGGTCGGGACAAAGCTCAACGTTGCTTAACTTCGGTGGTCGTTCGGGAGCTGGAGTTTCAACATAATACGGCTGTAAGCCATACTCCCGGCATATTCAAGCTTTCACTACGTGCTAGTCCCAAACTGTCACCCATCTAGGCCGTGACAAAGCTCAACGTTGCTTAACTTCGGTGGTCGTTCGGGAGCCTGAGCTTCAACATAATACGGCTGTAAGCCATACTCCCAGCATATCCAAGCTTTCAGCACCTGCTAATCCCAAGATGTCACTCATCTCGGTCCTAACTCTATCAGCCGTGTGTTAACTTCAGAGAATGTACTTGTACCGATGGCCGTACGTCTCAACTTCCATAACAGAAAAACTAATAAATAACGAAATCATATGATAAATCTTTGAAACATTTAATTATCGGGGCATTTACATCAATGGGTGACCCTTATTCTAAATCAGCCAACATTCTATAATCGTATGATACAAAAAGTGTCACTCTATGTAGTTGAAAGGGTTAATCACACACTATTGTGACACTGATAGAATGAAAAGGATTAAAAGGGTTCATGTGAAAACTCCGTATATGATTTGGAGAATTGTAAGGGTTAAAAATGTTACGGTGAAACATGAATTGAAATATGGAACAAGAAACAAAAGAGATTTTTTTCTTCCTTTCTGATAACCAGAATAGCAGAATGGAATGTTGAGTTCAAAATATGATCTGAGAAATATAAAATATATGTAAAATATAAAATATATGTAAAATATATATAAAATATATGTAAAATATAAACTGCTTGTCAGCAGAAAAACAGATGGAATTGTTATGATTCGAAAAGTTGACAATGCAAACATTCTAAAATATGGTTTTGTAAGTATGCAAAGTGGGCAAGATTTTTAATCGGTTATATTTAAAAGTCGACAACAAATGAATGTCTTTGATGCCAAGACATGGTGACCCAGATAAAGGATGGCTCAAATTGTCATTGGGAAACTTGGCCGATTGTCCTCAGAGATATAGAAAAGAAATTAGAAGCACAAGTTTGTTATCGAAGAGTTTATTGTTTTAAATAAGTGACCGACCGCAGACCGCTTTGTTTGAAGGCCAGTATAAATTCTCCAAAATTGGAGAGATAATGAATTGATATGAATATTAATGAATCTTGGAGTGCGTTAGGAGGCGGATGAAATATATATAAACGGGAAATCTAAAGAGGAGAAGTCAGATGAAGGCAGAATTCATATGACCTTCTGCATAGTGAATTGCTGACCTTTTTAAAACTTGCTCTAAGTTTCAGAAGAAAAGACAGACAGTTACGATAGAGATTTTAACGAGAAGGGTTAATTGTATAAAACTATTTGAAAATTAACCCGGCGACATTCTTATTTATTTTGTTGTCATTTTTATTTTCGCCATCGGAAACGTTCCTTGTCCTTTTGTAGCACGGTTTTGTCGCGGTTCGACCCAGCGATCGAGTACAGACGAAATTCAATCTTCACTGCTCTGTGATCAAAGAACACAACCTGGATCAGAAGCAGATAAAGGAAGGGAGCGGCAAGCAGATATGCATAAGCTCACGGACGGCAGTACTGACCTGCGTAGGAAAGGCCCAGAATCAAGCCGGGTCAGCCGTGTTATAATCAACTGGTTTTGTTAAATCCATGACTTCAGTATGTTCACTTTCCACCATAATGGTTTTAATTGCTTGCCAGAAGCCAACTTTGCTGTCATATGTTTCACTATCGTCATATAAGTTTATTTTCACAACTGATCTTAGATTTTCGATCGGATTCAGAAAGGGACTTGACGACGACCATTCTTTTTTATTGTCTTCCGTAAAACTTTTACGTTCAATAAACTCACATGTAAAATTAGACACATTACAAGGATTATTTCGCATAAACATTTCGATTCGAAACCCTAAATCTGGGACTGATATCATTGAAAATATATTTAGTCCAAGAAATTGGATTAGTTAGAACTTTTTATTTCTCCTCATCATCGATTCTGAATCGTCTTGCAATGGTTTCCATCACATATTCTTTATTTTCTCCAAAAACAGGGTAACAAAAACATCCTTTTATCTATGAGTACCTTTGTTTGCCTTCAATATTCATTTCATAATATTTAATGATTTAATTTTCTTTTGTTTGGTTTGTTTCTTTAACGGTGTATCTACTCCTATGGGTCATTTAATGCCGAAATTTTATTTTCTTGTGAGATTTAGTATTTCTTTTTACCAAAAATATATTGCTGGTAATTGTTTTATTTTTGTAACTTTTACTATGAAAATATATTGCTGGAAATTTTTGGTAATTTATTTTAATGTTTTGACCCAAGTTTAGTAGTTCAGTATTTGCCCATACCTGAGATCGTAACAGGTGATGCCACCCTGGGTTAGGGCGGACCCGGGGACAACAGTAATTAAGAGGTGGTTCCAAGCTCCTCAAAACTTCCCGATCAAGGCCTTACTGCTGTCTGTGCTTTATCGTCATACCCAGAACGGAAATTAATTTTATCGTGCATAGGCCCTATAGTATGTCATCCAAGTGCGATCGATAACATGAATATAGTTATGATCTGTTGAAACGATCTCTGAAGAGCAAACGCTTAATACGGAGATTTGCTCAAAGATTGTCACATTTATTACTTCAAACTACAAATGAAATTTTTTTCAACAGATATATTTCTACTCTTTATATTTGACTGACTTGAGGGCTGTGTTCAGTTGTCAATGAATACTAGCTAGAGGAACTGTACTGCGTAGGGAGAGGAATATATAAAAAACAAAGATTTTTATTTTAAATCTATTACTATAACTGAGAAACTAATTGAACTGAATCGATTTATCCAACCTGCTATAAAACATGATTTGATCTATAACGAAGTACAAAATCCTTGTAAATTATTGGATGTGATAGATATCAGAATAAACACGGAGACGTGATAAAATGTAATAATAAACACAAGAAAGACAAGGATATGAACCTGAAAGAATAAATGAATAATCTCGGGAGATCGTGTTATAATTTTACCGAGAATTTTCAATTTTATTCCGCTTTTAATAAAATAATAGGCTATTTTACCGGTCCCGTTACTATAGACACCAAGGCTATTTGACGTTTTCAGTACAATAGACACAAGACTATTTTGCCGGTAAATATAAAAAGTGTTTTACAACTGAGAATATATTGTATTTGTGATCGTCATCGCAGTTGTAGTGTGTAGCCAGGGCATGGATTCTGTGGTCTGTGGTTGAAGTCTCCAGTTGGTGTCTTTACAAGAGAACCATTCTCAATGTCCATTTTCGAATTTGCAGAAACTGTTATGCCTGAATTGTTTTAAATATTCGGAGACTTCTGTATTTCTTTGAATAATTGATGATGAATAAATGATTTTAAAGTGTGTTTTAACATTTGATGGTGAAAAAGATTTTAAATTGTCTTAACAATTGATAGTAAAAATAAATAAACTTCTGCGTTAAATTGGTGTGTTAGCATTTTTAATATTACCTCCTTTCATAGTAATAAAAATATTTACCGGCAAAATAGCCTGGGGTCTATTTTAACGAAACCGTTAACATATGCCTAAAAACATGTTTGACTATTTTTAACGGGACCGGTAAGACAGACATTTCCTTTAATAAAATATACATTTGATGATTGTCATAATAAAATGAGGAGTATAATCCGAAAAATCACTCAGAATTAGGAAAAAAAAACTTCTCAGTGAAATGCATAGAGAAATCTGTTTTGCATGTAGTTAAGTGATATATGCAAAATAGCGATAATAAAAACATCAGAAATTCACGCTGAAATTGGCTTTTGATAAATCTTTAACGTATTCCTGCTGCACAAGAGAGCTTACTCTCCGCAGAGCAAATATAAAAAGATTTTTTTTTTAATCTAAAGTTTTGTAGCGAATGTTTAACTACATTGAAAGGAGAAACAGGCTGGCAAACATTCTTTTTTAATACTAAATATTTATCCAAGGATACGTCGACGTAATCAGAGGCACAGTGGAATAATAGATAGCTGCTCGGATTGAGAAATAAGATTTCATTCACTTACGTGCCAAAGGTATGAACCATGTCTCGGCTATGAATAAATAGCAGGTCAGGCGACTAGTCTAGAAAAAAAGAAAAACCATTTCAATTCAAACCGGCTTGTGGAGAGTTGGGCTCCGACAGCCTATCTTTCCCAAAATACACAACTGCTGCTTCAACCCCAATGGTAGTGATCTCGACGTGGTGTAACCGTTAGCAAACTTGTCTTGATAGATCAATTACGACTCAGTAGTAAATTCAGATCACACTGGGTGCTTTCATACGGCCTTATGCCAGACATAAGCTACGCTGAGTAAATCGCTAAATATTTATCCAAAGGTGGTTCTGCGTGGTGTAATAGAAAGCTTTTCTCGCTAGATCAATTAAATTTGAATACTGAGGTCGATCTTTATTAAGTACTCCTAACTTTCGGCCTTGTGCCACATGTGAGCTACAGAGAGTAAATCGTTAATATTTATCCAGAGACCTTCGACGTGGTGCAATTGTTATAAACGTGTCTCTCAACAACAATTATAACCGAGTAGTGAGTTTGATTTCCACTGGGTACTCATCACCATCTGCCTTGTGCCATATTTTCAAAATGGCCCGACACGTAGAAAAATAAAAATGTCATATCTTGATGCATGTATGTATCACATGTTTTAGGACGTTATTTTTTCATTTTCAAAATCCAAATTGAGTTTACAATAACTCTAAATTTTAAGTATAATTTCTGTGTCGCGATGGATTTTTTTTTTTAAATAATTATAATTTAAGTTCTACTTCTGTATCTAACAATGATAACTTTGGTTCAATAATCTAACTATTCTTTCCTTTTACATCAATAAACACACACACGAACACACACATACACATATATGTATATATATTTGTGTAAA